CTAAAAATACAAAAATTAGCTGGCGTGGTGGCATGTGCCTGTAGTCCCAGCTACTCCGGAGGCTGAGGCAGAGAATTGTTTGAACCCGGGAAACAGAGTTTGCAGTGACCCAAGATCATGGCACTGCACTCCAGCCTGGGCAACAGAACAAGCCTCTGTCTCAAAAATAATAATAATAATAATCCAAGCTCTATCCTGACCGCTATGGGCACATGTCATCAGGACTTCCTGAGGCTGTGTCACGGGCTTGCATCCTTAACCTTGGCAACATAAACTTTCTAAATTAACTGAGAACTGTCTCAATTTTGGGGGTTCACACTACTTTTATCACTCATATTCAACATAGTACTAGCACTTGTAGTCAGTGCAATAAGGAAAGAATAAAGAAAAGGCATACAGGAAGGAATGGAAAGGAAGAAATAAAACTGTCCCCATTTGCATATGATATTATATAAATAAAAAATCCCGAGGAATCTACACACATACACACAAGGAAATATGTACAAATAAATGTAACAATACATATATGGGGTTTGTGTGCTTAAAATCACACAACGCTGATGAAAGAAATCAGAGATCTGAATAAATGGAGAGACATAATGTGTCGATTCATATCAAATTAATATACAGGTGTAACACAATTTCTACCAATATCTCAGCAAGATTTTTTGGAGATATACACAAACAAGATTATTTTAAAATTTATAAGAAAAGGAAAAGGAAGTAGAATAGCTAAAGCAATTAGGGCAAAACATAAATAGAGTGAGGCTGGGCGCAGTGGCTCACACCTATAATCCTAGCACTTTGGGAGGCTGAGACAGGCGGATCACCTGAGGTCAGGAGTTCAAGACCAGCCTGGCCAACATTATGAAACCCCATTTCTACTAAAGATACAAAAAATTAGCTGGGCGTGGTGGGACGCGTGTGTAATCCCAGCTACTTGGGAGGCTGAGGCAGGAGAATCGCTTGAACCAGGGAGGCTGAGGTTGCAGTGAGCTGAGATCACACCTTTGCACTGCAGTCTGGGCAACAGGGTGAGTCTCCATCCAAAAAATAAAATAAACATATAAATAAACAAAGTGAGTGAAAGTTATCTACCTGATTTTGAGGCTTACAAAAATAACTATGGTAATCAAGACTGGCCAGGTGTGCTGTTTCACACCTGTAATTCCAGCACTTTGGGAGGCCCAAGTGCAAAGATCACTCGAGGCCAGGAGTTTGAGATCAGTCTGGAAGACATAGCCAGATACTGTCTCTTTTTCAAAAAAATTAAAAATTAATGGGCATGGTAGTCCTACCTACTTGAAAAGCTGAAGTGGGAGGGTCACTTGAGCCCAGGAGTCTGAGGCTACAGTGAGCTGTGATTACACCACTGCACGGCAGTGTGGGCGTGATCTGTCTCTAAAAGAAAACAAGGGCCAGGTGTGGTGGCTCAATCCCATAATCCTAGCAGTTTGGGAGGCCAGGTGGGTGGATCACTCGGGGTCAGGAGTTCCAGACCAGCCTGGCTAACATGGTGAAACTCTGTATCTACTAAAAATGCAAAAATTAACTTGGTGTGGTGGTGCACACCTATAGTCCCAGCTACTCGGGAGGCTGAAGCAGGGAGAACTGCTTGAACCTGGGAGGCAGAGGTTGCAGTGAGCCAAGATCATGCCACTACACTCCAGCCTGGGTGACAGAATGAGACTCTGTCTCAATAAAAAAAGAGAAAAAGAAAAGAAGAAAGACTGTGTGGTGTTGGTGGAGGGATAGACATATAGATCAATGAAACAGAACAGAGAATCCAGAAATAGATGTACACAAATATGCCCAACTGATTTCTGACAAAGATTCAAAAGATTAAAAAATGGAGGACATACAGTGTTATTAACAAACGGTGCTGGAGCAATTGGACATTAAGAGGCAAGCAAACAAACAAAAATGAACCTTGATATAACTCTTATACAAAAATTAACTCAGGCTATGGCTCACATGTGTGTTTCCATTGCTTTGGGAGGCTGAGCTGGGAGGATTGCTTGAGCCCAGAAAGTAGGGGCTGCAGTGAGCTATGATCTTGCCACTGCACTCCAGCCTTGACAACAGAGCAAAAAACAAACAAACAGGCTGGGCATAGAAGCTTCCGTCTGTAATCCCAGCTTTTTGGGAGGCCGAGGTGGGCAGATCACCTGAGGTCAGGAGTTCAAGACCAGTCTGGCCAACATGGTAAAACGCTATCTCTACTAAAAATGCAAAAATTAGCTAGGCGTGGTGGCAGGTGCCTGTAGTCCCCAGCTACTCGGGAGGCTGAGGCACGAGAATCGCTTGAACCTGGGAGGCAGAGGTAGCAATGAAGAAGAAATTGATTGACTGGACTTTTGGCCTGTGATAGGCCCTATTAAGAGAATGAAAGGAAAAAAAAAAGCTCCAGAGTCGAAGAAAATATCCGCAACCCACATATCTGACAAATTACTGTTACTGGTGGAGGGTGTCCAGGTTCTTGGCATCTTGAACACAGAAGTGGACAAAACGCACAAACAAAGCAAGGAAAGAATGAAGCAACAAAAGCAGAGATTTATTGAAAACGATAGTATGCTCCACAGGGTGGGAGTGGGCCCGAGTACAGGGGCTCAAGGGCCCTGTTACAGAATTTTGGGTGGCTTAAATACCTTCCAGAGGTTTCCACTGGTTTCTTGGTGTATGTCCTATGTAAATGGAGAGGATGAGGTAAAGTTACAAAGTCATTTACTCCTCGTATGTCCTTTGTAAATGGAGAGGATATTTCCTGTCACAGCTGAAGTGTGAATCGGCCTTGTGTTCCCTGCCTCCAGACCCTATTTTTCTGCCTCAGTACTACTATTTAGGATATATAAAGAACTCTCAAAATTTAACAATCCAATTAGAGCAGGTGTAAAAGACTTGAAGAGAATTTCACTGAAGAAAGCACATAAACACAGGAAAAAATGTTCAACATTATTAGCCATTAGGAAAATACAAATTAAAACCACAAGAAGCTGGGCATGGTGGCTCATGCCTGTAATCCCAACATTGTGGGAGGATAGCTTGAGCCCAAAAGTTTGAGACCAGCCTGGGCAACGTGGCAAAACTCCGTCTCTACAAAGATTACAAAAATTAGCAGGGCATGGCAGTGCATGCCTGTAGTCCCAGCAACTCAGGAGGATGAAGTGGGAGGTTCATTTGAGCTTCAGAGGTGAAGGCTGCAGTAAGCCTTGTGATCACGCCACTGCACTTCAGCATTCGAGACAGAATGAGACCCAGCCTGAAAACAAAGAAATAAAACCACAAGATACCACAACACATCTACCAGAATGACTAAAAAATACTGACAATGCCAAATGGTAGTCAGGATGTGAAGAAACTGGGATTACAGGGGTGAGCCACCGCACCCGGCTGGAAATGCCCGGAAGTTATCCTGTATGGTCTAAAAGGGGAGGAACCCACAGTTCTGAGGGAAATCCCTTCCCATTTCATCGGGATACAGAAAACTCATGAATAATCCATCCCTTGTTTAGCATACAATCAAGAAGTAACTATAAGTATACTTGACTGAGTATACTTATAGTACGGGCTTGCTGCTCTGTCTATGGAGTAGCCATTCTTTTATTCCTTTAATTCTCTAATAAACTTGCTTTTGGTCAGAGGTGGTGGCTCACGCCTGTAACCCCACCACTTTGGGAGGCCAAGGCAGGCAGATTGCTTGAATTCAGGAATTCAAGACCAGCCTGGCCACCATGGAAAAACCCCATCTCTACAAAAATTACAAAAAGTAACTGAGCATGGTGGCTGACGCCTGTGGTTCCAGTTACTAGGGAGGCTGAGGTGGGGAGTCACTTGAACCTGGGAGGCAGAGATTGCACCACTGCACTCCAGCCTGGGTGACAGAGTGAGACTCTAAAAAAAAAAATCCAAAAAACCCTACTTTCCATTAAGAAATTTTGTTTCATCTACTGACTCCCTGATATCTACAACTTAACTAGTCTAGTGAACTTGGGGAAGTTACATTTTTTTTTTTTTAAGACAGAATCTTGCTTTGTTGCCCAGGCTGGAGTGCAGTGGCACGATCTTGACTCACTGCAACCTCCACCTCTTGGGTTCAAGCGATTCTACTGCCTCAGTCTCCCAAGTACCTGGAATTATAGGCACATGCCACCAAACCCCGCTAATTTTTATATTTTCAGTAGAGTTGGGGTTTCACCATTTTGGCCAGGGTGGTCTCAAACTCCTGGTCTCAAGAGATCCGCCCACCTTGGCCTCTCAGAGTGCTGGGATTACAGTCGTCAGCCACTGCTCCTGGCCTCTAGTTACTTCTTAAACTCTCTGAACCTTGTTTTTTTTAAATCCTCTAAATGAGGATAATAGTTCATAATTCCTAACTTTTGTCATGAAAATTAAAGAGTTAATATATATTACGTGGAGAAATGTAAATTCTAGTTCAAAAAATATAAGAAATAATGTAAATTCTGATTTACTTATCTGGTGAGAAATGCAAGGACATTTTTCTTTGGTTGTGGGTATTAAAAGGCTAAGGTATTTATATTCCACTGGATACATTTGGAAGAATGATTACCAGTTTTATTTCAAAATTTCAACATTGAGAACACACTAGGACTTACATCTTTTTCAACTCATGATGAAAAATTTTGTCAGCGAAATGTGTTGTTACGATTGTTTTATAAAAATCTTTTACGTCGATGAGCAAATATCTTAGAAGACCACTGCTGAGGAGAAATGTTATTTATCCAGAGACTTGCCTTAATTAGGAGACCCTACATAGCGCCCAGTAGAAATGTAATAAAGGCATTTCACTTATTCCCTTTCTCAGCCCTGCCGTGAACAAACTTGAATGAAAAAAATCAACCACGCTCCGAGTGCGCGCCTAGACGCAGCCTGTAGTAGTCAGGTTCCACCACTAGGTGGCACACGCCAAAGGCTCCGGGGGGCGGGCCGCCCGAGCACGCCTCTCGGTAGCCCCGTGGTATCTCTCGGCTTCCGTTGAGCACCGAGCAAGATGGCAGCTTCCGAGACGGTTAGGCTACGGCTTCAATTTGATTACCCGCCTCCAGCTACCCCGCACTGTACGGCCTTCTGGCTTCTGGTCGACTTGAACAGATGCCGAGTCGTCACAGATCTCATTAGTCTCATCCGCCAGCGCTTCGGCTTCAGTTCTGGGGCCCTCCTAGGCCTCTACCTGGAGGGGGGGCTCCTGCCCCCCGCCGAGAGCGCGCGCCTGGTGAGAGACAACGACTGCCTCAGGTGCGCGGCGCAGGGAGCGGGACGGCCGGGTGGGCGGTGGGAGGGGGACGCGCCTGCGCACGCCCGGGCTTGAGGCCGCTAGACCTGGTTGTGGAGGGCATGGGGAATGGGGAAGGGGACGAGGGTTAGAGGGGGTGGGGCTGTAAAAATGCACGTTCGCTAACCCGGGAGATACTGATTGGTGTAGTCAACTTTGGGGCTCAGGAATCACATTTTATTATTTATTTATTCATTTGAGACAGAGTCCTGCTTTGTCGCCCAGGCTGGAGTACAGTGGCGTGATCTCGGTTTACTGCAACCGCCGCCTCCCGGGTTCAAGCAGTTTTCCTGCCTCAGCCTCCCGAGTGGCTGGGACAACAGGCGTCCGCCACCACACCCAGCTAATTTTTGTATTTTTAGTAGAGATGGAGTTTTACCACAGTGGTCTAGGTGGTCTCGAGCTCTTGACCTCAGGTGATCCGCCAGCCTTGGCCTCTCAAAGTGCTGGGATTACAGGCGTGAGCCACCCCACCCTGCCCCTATTATTTTTATTTTTGAGACTGAGTCTCGTTCTGTTACCCAGGCTGAAGTGCAGTGGCGCGATCTCAGCTCACTACAACCTCCACCTCCCGGATTCAGTCGATCCTCCCACCTCAGCCTCCTGAGTAGCTGGGATTACAGGCGTTCACCACCATGCCCAGCTAATTTTGTTGTTGTTGTTGTTGTTGTATTTTTAGTAGAGACAGGGTTCACCATGTTGGCCAGGCTGGTCTTGAACTCCTGACCTTAAGTGATCCTCCCGGCTTTCCAAAGTGCTGGAATTAACAGGCGTGAGCCTCTGCGCCTGGCCGGAATCTGCATTGTAACCAGCAACCTCCCCGGGATGCTTCTATGACAGGAGAATCAAACTTGGAAAAACCCTGATGCCTAAGGGCAGGGCCAGGGTTTCTTTCAGCCTTGATTTAGCACATCCACGCTTAGCTAGGCACTGTGGGACTCTGTTCCGTGTCCATGGTGCAAATGTGCGGGAGACCCGGCCTTACCCTTGGTGGCCTTCACAGTCAGGTGCAGGAGACACAAGCTGATAAAGGGGAATCGTCGCGTTTTCTTTGTAACATGCTGTTGTCCAGCCTTAGTTCTCTTGTGCCCGGTGTCCCCTGAGACTTCTGGTGGCGTATCATTTTGTGTCTCACCCAGACATTTTGGGGTTTTCTCAAATAAGTGTCTTGAGTCCTTTTGGGCTGTAAATTGGGAACCACAAAATAATCTTAAATGTGCTTTTGGAAGTTAAAAAAATGATAATGAGGTGAGTATCCAGGAGCAATTGTAGTATGAATTGCTGAAATGTGGTTGAGTTGCCACAGTCAGATGATGGTATCACCAGTTTGGATTCATGTCTTGGACCGATTTATTCAGGCTTTTTTTTTTTTTTTTCTTTTTTAAACAAAGAGACTGGGTTTCCCATGCCCAGGCTGGAGTGCAGTGGTGCGGTCATAGCTTGCTGTAGCCTCGACCTCCTGGGCACAGGCAATCCTCCCACCTCAGCCTCCCAAGTAGTTGGGACTTCGGGCTAGGCAACCACGCCTGGCTAGTTTTTGTATTTGTTGTAGAGACAGGGTTTTGCCATGTTACCCAGGCTGATCTCAAATCCCTGGGCTCCAGCTGTCCTCTCTTCTCAGCGTCCCAAAGCACTGGGATTACAGGCGTGAGCCACTGTGCCAGCCTTCCTTCCCCCCACCCCCTTTAAGCTTCAGCTACAGTGAATTAATTCCAGAGTTGTGAACCAGGCTATTTTCTCTTGCTGCCCTTTGTTGTTGAATATTCCTTACCCTCGAGCATATCAGATTCTGTAAGATTTCTTCAGAACATCAAGGAATTTAATTTGGAACAATAACTGCATCTTCAAATCAGGATGTTATGATTTATTGCATAATGTTCAACTGTTTCAAATGACAATTTGAAATAATCCGAATTTCAAAGAGTTTTTCCCCCCTTTTTATCGACTGTGAAATAGGTCTCTATTCTCTCTGCAATTGAAGGATTATTTAAATATTACAATTCTAAGGATTGTGTCCCATCCTATTAAGATTACTTTCTGAACTGTCCCTTGACTAATGAGTTAATAACTTGTGCTAGCTAACTAGAATTATACTTTAATGAATCATCTGGGCATTACATTCTTCATAATGAAGTTAACAATGACAAAAACCATGAAAATTGTTATAAGTAATAATTACAACACGATGACAGGCAAATCCTTCCTAAATACTTCAAATGCACAGCTGCATGTGGCAAAAAAATACCTCTGTAGTGGCTTCTGTGGCAAATGGGCAGACTATAGAAAAAGATGAATCTGGAAAATTCATCTTTATTTTTGTTGTTTTATGCCCGCAATCATTGTTTTTTCCTAACAGATTCACTTTTCTTCAGAGCTACAGAAGAAAACATAGTCTCTGTTCTCAAAGTACCCAATATCGTTGGACTGGGACCCCAATAATGAGTTTCATGCTTTTGTATATTACCTTCTGTGATACGGGCAATTAGACTGAATAGTTAAACCAAGTTATACTGGTAAGTGCAGAAGCTGGTTGAGAAAAGGGAGATCAGCATGGAACAAAATGGTCAGGGAACTGAGCAGTACCTTGAAGAATGGGTGGGAAATGTTGGATGATCAAAGCACAGCTGTAGAGACAAAAGCTGGCTGGACTTGGTAAAAAGATGAATCTGACCAGCCAAAGCATTCTTTGGGATCGTTGGCAGTACTTAGAAGTCTAACGAGGAAAAGTGGAACCAGGTTGTGGGAATCCTGAGAAACAGCCTTTGAGGCTTTAGATGTACCACACACTTGTATTCCACTGCTGTTTCCTCATAGCCCATTCTCTTAAACCCCAGGAATCTGGCTTCATCTGCCCCCACGTTTCTGACAGTGAGTTCCTAAAGGTGGCCTCTAACTCTCCTGGGAGGAGGAGGAGGTGCTTATATTGCCTTGGAGCCCCCTGCGTTAGTTTGCTGGGGCTGCTGTTACAAAATACCACAGACTGGGTGGCTTAAAAAATGGAAATTTATTTCTTACTCTTTTGGAGACTAGAAGTCCAAGATCAGGGTGTTGGCAGATTTGGTTTTTTATTTTTGTTTTTATTTATTTATTTATTTATTTGTTTATCTATCTTGAGATGGAATCTCACTCTGTTGCCCAGGCTGGAGTGCAGTGGCACAATCTTGGCTCACTGCAACCTCCGCCTCCTGGGTTCAAGTGATTCTCTTGCCTCAGCCTCCCAAGTAGCTGGGCTTACAGGCACCCGCCGTCGTGCCAGGCTAATTTTTTTGTATTTTTAGTAGAGATGGGGTTTCACCGTGTTGGCCAGGCTGGTCTTGAACTTGTGACCTCAAGTGATTTGCCCTCCTCAGCTTCCCAAAGTGCTGGGATTACAGGGGTGAGCGACTGTGTCTGTCAGTTTTTAATTTTTTAAATTATTATTTTTTAATCGTGCAGCCCTCAGAATTACAGTAGATTCAGAGAGATTCCCTTATTTTTTGAGACAGGGTCTCACTCCATTGCCCAGGCTGGAGTGCAGTGGCACAACCTTGGCTCATACAGCCTGGAACTCCTGAGCTCAAGGGCTCCTCCTGCCTCAGCCTTCCGAGTAGCTGGGACTACCAGTACAGTTTTTTAATTTTAGTAGAGAGGGCTCACTAAGTTGCCCAGGCTGGTCTCAAACTCCTGGGCTCAACCAGTCCTCCTGCCTCAGCCTCCCAAAGTGTTGGGACTATAGACCTGAACCGCGCACCCGGCCTGAGAACTCCCTTTTGAAGAGTCAATTCTGTAAGGAAACAAAGTGCATTCTGTCCTCTCTGACCCTTTTAACTCTGGCAGTTAATACTTAATTAAGGCTGGGCACCATGGCTCGTGCCTATAATCCAGCACTTTGGGAGGCTGAGGCAGGCACATTGTCTGAGCTCAGGAGTTTGAGTCTAGCCTGGGCAGCATGGTGAAACCCCATCTCTACAGAAAAATACAACAAAATTAACCAGGCATGGTGGCACATGCCTGTAGTCCCAGCTGCTTGGGGGGCTGAGGTGGGAGGATCTTTTAAGCCTGGGAAGTAAAGGCTTCAGTGAGCTGACATGGTGCCACTGCACTGCAGCCTGGGCAATAGAGTGAGACCTTATCTCAAAAAAACCAAAACAAAAACACATTGATTAAATATTAGAGATGGGCCAGGCATGTTGGCTTATGCCTGTGATACCAGCACTTTGGGAGACTGAGGTGGGAGGATCACTTGAGTCCAGGAGTTTGAGACCAGCCTGGGCAACATAGGGAGACCCTTGTTCTACCCACCCCGCCCCCCTCAAAAAAAACAAAACAAAAATAAAGCCGGGCTCAATGATGGATGCCTGTAGTCCTAGCTACTTGGGAGGCTGGGGTGGGAGGATCACTTGAGCCTTGGAAGTTGAGGCTGCAGTGAGCCATGATTGTGTCACTGCACTCCAGACTCGGCAGCAGTGCAAGACCCCATCTCAAACAAAACAAAATATTAGAGATGAGTTCTCATTTCACATTGCTGTAGTTAGTGGCTCCTTGGATAATCCAAGGTAAAAAGTTTCCTACTTCTCTTATAATAAACTTTTTCCCACACCTCGCTCTCCAGAAGTATCCTTGGTTAAGTTTGGGGTATGGGGCATATCTTGCCAGATTTCTATACATGTGCAACCATATGTACTTATACTTTTAAAATACAAATATCATAACATACTGTTCTGCACCTTGCTTTTTCACCTATCATGGGCTATCTCAGTATATAAAGTATGTAAGGTACATCATTCTTTTCTGTTTGCTACATAGTGCTTTTGTGAATATTCTTGTGTATTTTTGTGTACTGGGAAAATGATTCAGTTGGATTTATTCTTAGAAGAGACACTCATTGGTCTAAGAGAAGGTACATATAAAAACTGGTAAGTACAGTCAAATTAGCTTCCAGAAAAGTTGTACAGACTTGTACAACTTTTAAAAATTCACCAACTTACCCATCATAGGACTAACAACATTCATTGTGTTAATAAAAATTAGAGCTAACATTTGGATATCACTTGTTCTGAGTCAGGCATGCTGTCTCTATAATAATTCACTGAGTACTATAATTATTGTCATTATCCCCATTTTTATAGATGAGAAAGGCTGAGGTAATGATTTTTTAAAAAGTTACAGTGGCAGAAATAGCGTTTGAACCCAGGCATTCACTTTGGCCTAGGCAGGCAATGCGTAGGGGGTATCAGGTTTGACAGATGGGCATGTCAGTTTTTCTGCATAACAGAATCCTAGAAGCTAAATTGTGGATTTTAAGGGTGGATTTACGTTTTGATAATACCACCCAGTTTGCTATGCAGAGAGTTAGAATGAAAAGTGGGGATGGCTGGGCACGGTGGCTTACGCCTGTATTGCTAACACTTTGGGAGGCCGAGGCGGGTGAATCAATTGAGGTCAGGAGTTCGAGACCAGCCTGATAAACGTGGCAAAACCACATCTCTACTAAAAATACAAAAAGTTAGCAGGGTGTGGTGGCAGGCGCCTGTAATCCCAGCTACTTGGGAGGCTGAGGCAGGAGAATTGCTTGAATGCAAGGGGAGGAGGTTGCAGTGAGCCCATATTGTGCTGCTGCACTCCAGCCTGAGCGACAAAGTGAAATTCCATCTCGAAAAAAGAAAAGTGAGGATCTGTTTTTTTGTGTTTTTTTTTTTTTTTTTTTTTTGAGACAGAGTCTTGCTCTGTCGCCCAGGCTGGAGTGCAGTGGCACGATCTTGGCTCACTGCAAGCTCCACCTCCCGGGTTCACGCCGTTCTCCTGTCTCAGCCTCCTGAGTAGCTGGGACTACAGGTGCCCTCCACCATGCCCGGCTAATTTTTTTGTATTTTTAGTAGAGACGGGGTTTTACTGTGTTAGCCAGGATGGTCTCGAACTCCTGACCTCGTGATCCGCCCGCCTCAGCCTCCCAAAGTGCTGGGATTACAGGCGTAAGCCACCGCGCCCAGCCTAATGCTTGTATTTTGTAGAGGCAGGGTCTCCCTATGTGGCCCAGGCTGGTCTTAAACTCCTGGGCTCAAGCGACCCTCCCACCTTAGCCTCCCAAAGTTTTGGGATTTCAGGCATGAACCACCGTGCTTGGCCAACAGGCATTTTTGAGTACTTACTATTTGCTTAACATCGAGGACACTCTCAAGACTTCCATCATTATCAGACTGCACATTCTAGGATTAACTGTTGTCAGTTGATAGAGGAATGAAGTTGCTTTCCTATAGTGGCATTTTGGATGAAGTAGGGTTATTCAGAGAAACGTAACCAGTAAGAAACACACACACACACACACACACACACACACACACAAATACTCACTCACTCACAGACATGGGATTTATTGTAAGGAATTGGCTTATAGGATTGTGGAGGCTGAGAAGTCCTAAGTTTAGTTGGTAAGCTATAGATCAAGGAGAGCCAGTGGTATATTTCTAGTTCAAGTTCGAGTTTGAAGGCAGAAGACCGATGTCCCAGCTTGAAGAGTCAGGCAGAGAAGCGAATTCTCCCTTACTCCATCTTTTTGTTCTATTCAGGCCTTCAGCAGGTTGGATGAGCCCCACCCACATTGGAGACAGCAATGTACTTTACTCAGTCTAGCAATTTAAATGTTAATCTCATCCAGAAACAACCTTGCACATACTCCCAGCATAATTTTTTTTTTCCCACTGAGGCAATATATTTGTAAATATGTATTACATCCTTATAAAAAGAATCTCAGGATTTTTCCTCCTGTGTGTTTTTGTCTTGCTTCTTCATGGTATGTGATGCCAGCCAAGGTTGTCAGTACAGTGAAACCAAACTGGTGGGATGGGAGCAGATTATTCTGCCATTTTTCTAGATCTTTGAGTTGCACATCAAATCTGGGGCTGATTACTCCATACTTGTTTAGCCTGCCTATGAGGTTCACAACAATTTTCCCAGCTCTGTGATCACCAGTGATTTCAGACTTGCCAGTGTAACCATGCTTCATCATTATAGTTGGAAACTGGATGATGGGGCTAGGCGCGATGGCTCATGCCTGTAATCTCAGCACTTTGGGAGGCCAAGGCAGGTGGATCACTTGGGCACTTGAGGCCAGGAGTTCAAGATCAGCCCGGCCAACATGGCAAAACTCCATCTGTACTAAAAATACAAAAATTAGCAAGACATAGTGGTGAGCACCTGTAATCCCAGCTATTTGGGAGGCTGAGGCATGAGAATCTCTTGAACCTGGGAGGGAGAGGTTGTAGTGAACTGAGAAATGCACCAGTGCACTTTGCCCTGGGTGACAGAGTTGGGCCTCTGTCTCAAAAAAAAAAAAAAAAAAAAAAAAAAAAAAAAAATTAAAAAACCTAAAATAAAAAAAAGAAACTGGACAATTACTTTGGAGCTCGGGCTAATAAGAACCTGGCATTTACCTTGCTTTTCAGTTTTGTTGATGCTCTTAAGAGCATCAGCCAGGACATTCATGTGCACCACTGTGGTGGTGTGGAAAGAGCCAGTGTCGTTTTAACCAGATATCTGGACACCCAATAGCCCAGACAAATTGATACATAAAATTAAGCTTCACGGAGTGTCATGGAATTGTACAGATGGCTGTCAATACCCCAGAGAACATAAATTGTTTAGTATTCACCTAAATTAAAACAAGAGTAAAATATTGTTAAAGAAAGCAGCCCACATTCTGAAACAAAATGGATAATCAGCATTATCACCTTTTAGGGTAGGTGACATGCATATCTTAGAAAGATTGTGAGTTTGAAGTTAGACAAACTGAAGTTTGAATTGCCTTTCTGCTACTTATCAGCTCTAGATTTGGGGCAAGTAACTTGTCTGAGCTGTAATTTTGCGATCTGTAAAATTAAAAATACCTACTTCGTGTTGATGTTTAGATTAGAGAAAAACGTATAAAAAATGTTTGGGATGCAGTAGCTATTCAATAAAACTAGTCATTTGAAAGTTGACTGTGAGTAATGCTGTATGGGCCATTTTGCCAGAAAGAGTCTTTTGTCTTTAATTGATATGACATTTTTTCATTGACTGATGGTAATTACATTTTGTAGAGTCATCTCAGTATATAACTATGTCCTGGAGATGTGTTTACAAATTGCTCACTCTAGTTTTCTCTCTTGTTCTGTTGACAGAGTTAAATTAGAAGAGAGAGGAGTTGCTGAGAATTCTGTAGTCATCAGTAATGGTGACAGTAATTTATCTCTTAGAAAAGCAAAGAAGCGGGCATTTCAGTTAGAGGAGGATGAAGAAACTGAACCAGATTACAAATATTCAAAGAAGCACTGGAAGAGGCAAGAGAACAATAACAATAATGAGAAGGTCTTGGATCTGGAACCAAAAGCTGTCACAGATCAGACTGTCAGCAAAAAAAACAAGAGAAAAAATAAAGCAACCTGTGTCACAGTGGGTGATGATAATGAAGAGACCAAAAGAAAATCACCAAAGAAAAAGGAGAAATGTGAATATAAAAAAAAGACCAAGAATCCCAAGTCTCCTAAAGTACAGGCAGTAAAAGACTGGGCCAATCAGAGATGTAGTTCTCCAAAAGGTTCTGCTAGAAACAGCCTTGTTAAAGCCAAAAGGAAAGGTAGTGTAAGCGTTTGCTCAAAAGAGAGTCCTAGTTCCTCCTCAGAGGAGTCTTGTGATGAATCTATCAGTGATGAGCCCAGCAAAGTCACTTTGGAAGCCAGAAATTCCTCGGAGAAATTACCAACTGAGTTATCAAAGGAAGAACCCTCTACCAAAAATACAACTGCAGACAAACTGGCTACAAAACCTGGCTTTAGCCTTACCCCCAGCAAGGGCAAGACCTCTGGAACAACATCTTCTAGTTCAGACTCTAGTTCAGAGTCAGATGACCAATGCTTGATGTCATCGAGCACCCCGGAGTGTGCTGCGGGTTTCTTAAAGACAGTAGGCCTTTTTGCAGGAAGAGGTTGTCCAGGCCCGGGGCCATCATCACAGAGTGCAGGTGCTGCTGGATGGAGGCGTTCTGGCTCAAACGGTGGCGGACAGGCTCCTGGTCCTTCTCCCAGTGTGTCTCTCCCCGCTAGTTTAGGAAGAGGATGGGGTAGAGGAGAGAACCTTTTTTCTTGGAAGGGAGCCAGGGGACGGGGCATGCGGGGGAGAGGTCGAGGACGAGGGCATCCTGTTTCCTGTGTTGTAAATAGAAGCACTGACAACCAGAGGCAACAGCAATTAAATGACGTGGTAACAAATTCATCTACTATTATCCAGGTAAGTATTATTTTTTGTAAGTTACCTCCTCCTTTTCCCCTTAGAATGTGTGTGGAGTTCATGTCATGGGTTCACATTTTCTCACCAGTAATGATGTCACATGACTAACACTGTTTTTCAGAATCCAGTAGAGACACAGAAGAAGGACTATAGTCTGTTACCACTGTTAGCAGCTGCCCCTCAAGTTGGAGAAAAGATTGCATTTAAGGTATATTTCAAAACAACGGTCACAGCAAAAAAGGTTCATTCCCCTTCCAAATAAACTTACTTAACAAATCAGGTTTAAAGTGTTTGTAAAAGCCCTTCCCACTGGAACCGCAGTGTTGTCATGGGTTCCTGGTAGGGCTCCCAGACTGGTGGGGGGGACACCCCAGCATGGCATGATGGAGGAGCTGTGGGAATGTGAGAGGATAAGAGGGCTTATGTATTTGTGGGTTTTTTTCTTCTTTTTTAGCTTTTGGAACTAACATCCAGTTACTCTCCTGATGTCTCTGACTACAAGGTAAGGATGTTTATTTAAAAGTAAGTTGTCAGTATATTAATAAAACAAGTCATATTTCATACTACTTGTATGGATAATACAGATTTGTTTTTTTACTACATAAAAATGCCAGAAAGTAGAAAATGAAAACATTATTGAAATGTCAACTTTTTAATAGTATCACTGTGAAGTCTCCCAGTGTTATTTGCCTTATATTTGGGAAGAATAGAGTAGGAGAATGATCTTAATTTTTACTTTTTAAAAAAAATATTAATTTTTTATTTTTAAATAAAGACGGGATCTCTCTATGGTGCCCAGGTTGGTCTCAAACTCCTGGGCTCAAGCAGTCCCCCCATCTTGGCTTCCCAAAGTGTTGGGATTACAGGTGTGAGCCACCATGCGCAGCCAGTTTAATTTTTTTAGTTACTGTTTTCTAATTAGTTTAGACACACCAACTTATTTGGGTATTCATTCCCTCATGATTCTAAACTTTGAAAGAAAATAATAAACAGTTCTCAGCAAGAAGATTTGATTATTTTCATCATGGGAATCTATTTTACATATTTGTGAATTACTTCTGGTTATTATGATCTAGTATGATTTCTTTTGCATTATCAGTTAACCACAGGTAATTCATAAATATTATCCATGGAATTTACTTACTTAATATCTGTATGAGTCTTTATATTGGCATGTGAGGTTTTTCATAGTTCAATAAAAGCTTAACTCAGTGGGATCACAGAATTACATATTTCTTTTTCACCCACCAAAATTTGTTGAAAATCTTGTTAAAGTGCATCCTTTCTTTTTTTGATGTACGATATGGAATGTAAGACTATTTTTTAAGGTAATAATTAGTAATGTTAATATAGTAACATAGATAAAACACAAGGGAATTTGATTTAATCTGGATTGATGCCTTGGAAGACTTTTAAAATCTTTATAAAAACCTTTCCTCAAGGCTGGGCGTGTTGGCTCACGCCTGTAATCCCAGCACTTTGGGAGGCTGGGCGGGCAGATCACAAGGTCAGGAGATCGAGACCATCCTGGCTAACACAGTGACACCCTGTCTGTACTAAAAATACACACACAAAAAAAAGTTAGCGGGGCATGGTGGCGGGCGCCTGTAGTCCCAGCTACTCGGGAGGCTGAGAGCAGGAGAATGGCATGACCCCAGGAGGCAGAGCTTGCAGTGAGCCGAGATCACGCCACTGCACTCCAGCCTGGATGACAGAGCGAGACTCTGTCTCGGAAAAAAAAAAAGGAAAAAAAAACCTTTCCTCGAAAGCAGGCTGGAAGAATCAGTTAATGAAGGGATCTGGTGGGTTAGTTCTAGGTCATTGGTGTTTTGTTTTTATCTTCTTAGGCACTTACTATCTCCTGTGGATGAGGTGATCATGTAATTTATCACCTAAATCAGGATACTTGTGAGTGAAGGGGAGTGCTATTAATAGTTATGCTGGAAAGATGAACAGACCTGTCTTGAACAAACCAGGGTGTTTTGTCACCCTGCCATAGATAACTAATTTAATTGTGTGATATATGAGGAAATGGAAATGAATATTGTATTGATACATCCCACAACCTCTGTGAATTGTAATTCTAGATGATACTGATTTTTAAAAATTGCATATTAACGGCCAGGTGCAGTGGCTTGCGCCTGTAATCCCAGCACTTTGGGAGGCCAAGGTAGGCGAATCACTTGAGGTCAGGAGTTCGAGACCAGCCTGGCTAACATGGCAAGACCCCATCTCTACTAAAAATACAAAAATTAGCCTGGCGTGGTGGCATGCACCTGTAGCCCCAGCTACTCAGGAGACTGAGGCACAAGAATCACTTGAACCCAGTAGGTGGAGGTTGCAGTGAGCTGAGATCATTGCACTGTACTCCAGCCTGGGTGACAAAACGAGACTCTTTAAAAAAATTGCATATTAAATTGGTGTTAGTCATCATAGTTATTAACGTTGGAAGGTGATTTGCCTACTTTAGCTGACAAAATTTTTTGAAGATTTTTGAAATTGCTTTCACAATCATTTTAAGAATGAAAATTGGTCCTACTTTTTTTCTTTGACCTCAAACGCAGTTATCCAGCTTGATCATCTGCTTTTTTCATTAACCTTGTCTCCAAAAATTAAATTAGTTAAAGTCTGTACTCAAAAATGTAGTCTCCCAAGCTCCTGATTCCCTGTTGAGTCTGGTTCTAAAAAACACTGTTGACTGTGCTCAGAAATTCTAGATAGAGTCAGGAGGAACTGGTTGCTTGGCCTCTCAGTATATACCCCCAGAGGCTACCATGTGTCTCCCCATCGCCCACATGCATGGGCAGTGCATCCTCTTGAGGCATTAGAAAATCAGCTCCCACACCTGAAGACCTGGGAGAGGGGGAATTGGGATCTTACCAGTGATAAAGTGCCTTCTAGTTTCTCCTGAGGGGTTGTGATCACTGTTTTAGAAGGGTTCTAAAAGCATCAGGAACCGAGGCAGCACCATTAGGATATATCTAGTCTCTCCCGATGAATGCTGTGATGGTCAGTGGTCACTTGAATATATCCACCTGGTGTGATTTTTCCTCCTTTTCCCGTATTCACTCACTTTTGGTTCCCTGGTGTAATCTTACTTTCATTGAGTTATTTAAGGTAGTGTTTGCCATTTATGATTTAAATGGGTCTATTTTGCCTGTAAAGATGTTTCTGTATATTCACATAAAGGGTTTATTAGTCTACTTGTTTTTATTTTCTCTGTATGTGGATTTATTTTTAAATTTTTCAACTGAGATAAAATTCACATAACATAAAATTCAACATTTTAACCATTTTAAAGTCTACAATTCAGTGGTTTTTAGTATATTCACAGTGTTTTACATGTTGATTTTGACTTGGACTTTTATTTTTGAAAGGAAGGAAGAATATTAAGCCACAATCCAGAGACCCAGCAAGTAGATATAGAAATTCTTTCATCCTTACCTGGTGAGTCTTTTAGAAAAGAATTTGAAAATTTAGGCTTTTTCTATCTATAGTGGTTTATGAATAGCTTTTATACGCAGGAGATGTTCTCTTCCTTGGCCTCTATATAACTGGCGCTCCCCACTTCTTTCAGCACACTGTAACCCTGGGGATTCATAAGAGATGTTGGATATATTCCAAAACTGTTGGGCTAGTTCTTATTACTGTAATTATATAATTTCATAAAAGTTGGTATGAACTGATGAAAATTGATTATAAAAATAATTATTCCTAGGAAGCCTAAGTTGAATGCTGACTCAATAAATGCTATGAAATTATGGATGGGTGGGTCAGCTATAAAAGATTGGGAGGAATTTTGTAAAAACTGAGGAAGATTCTGCACTTAGATTGTCTTGCAAATTTTTGCAATCTTGCATTATTTTTAAAAAGCCCAGGCTGGGCATGGTGGCTCACGCCTGTAATCCCTGCACTTTGGGAAGCCGAAAGTGATGGATCACTTGAGGTCAAGAGTTTGAGACCATCCTGGCCAACGTGGTGAAACCCTGTCTCTATTAAAAATACAAAAATTAGAGGCCGGCGCGGTGGCTCAAGCCTGTAATCCCAGCACTTTGGGAGGCCGAGACGGGCGGATCACGAGGTCAGGAGATCGAGACCATCCTGGCTAACACAGTGAAACCCCGTCTCTACTAAAAAATACAAAAAACTAGCCGGGCGAGGTGGCGGGCGCCTGTAGTCCCAGCTACTCGGGAGGCTGAGGCAGGAGAATGGCGTAGACCCGGGAGGCGGAGCTTGCAGTGAGCTGAGATCCGGCCACTGCACTCCAGCCTGGGCGACAGAGCGAGACTCCGTCTCCAAAAAAAAAAAAATACAAAAATTAGCCAGGCGTCATGGCACGTGCCTGTAATCCCACCTACTGGAAAGGCTGAGGCAGGAGAATGGCTTGAATCCGGGAGGTGGAGGTTGCAGTGAGCTGAGATCACACCACTGCACTCCAGCCTGGGTGACAGAGCAAGACTCAGTCTCAAAAAAATAAAAATAAAAAAAACACCAAAACTGTAAATTGTGGAAATTGCAGACAATACAATGGTATGGTTTATAAAAGAAAGAGCTCTATTCAGTGAACTCATAAAACCTACTCAGCTCTATTTCAAAAGATTGTCAAATGAATATACTTTTGTATATTAAGTCAAAACAAAATGTCTAAACTGTGTGTATACATACACTTTACATATCATTTTAAATAGTTACTGGCTTTATCTCTGATTAACCCACCTGTTACTGGAACTGAATGCCTGGAATAAGAGCGCTTTTATAATATGTAGCTTAACCTGGAGTGTACTATAGGGGGTCCCTGGCCAGAGGACAGGGGAGATGCCTTTTCCTTTAGCAGATCCTAAAGCAATTAATTGTTTTCTGTGTGTGTGTGTGTGTGTGTGTGTGTGTGTGTTTTGTTTTGTTTTGTTTTTTTTTGACAGAGTCTCACTCTGTCGCCCAGGGTGGAGTGCGGTGGTGCAATCTTGGTTCACTGCAGCCTCTGCCTCCGAGGTCCAAGCAATTCTCGTGCCTCAGCCTGCAGAGTAGTTGGGACTACAGGCACACACCACCATGTCCAGCTAGTTTTCATATTTTTAGTAGAGATGGATTTTGACATTTTGGCCAGGCTGGTCTTGAATTCTTGGCCTCAAACAATCCACTCGCCTTGGCCTCCTAAAGTGCTGGGACTATAGATGTGAGCCACCATGCCCAGCCTGTTTTCTGTTTGTTTGTTTGTTTATTTTAGAGACGGAGTCTTGCTCTGTCACCCAGGCTGGAGTGCAGTGGCGCGATCTCAGCTCACTGCAAGCTTCACCTCCCAGATTCACACCATCCTCCTGCTTCAGCCTCCCGAGTAGCTGGGACTACAGGCGCCTGCTGCCACGCCTGGTTAATTTTTTGTAGTTTTAGTAGAGACAGGGTTTCACCGTGTTAGCCAGGATGGTCTCGATCTCCTGACCTCGTGATCCACCCACCTTGGCCTCCCAAAGTGCTGGGATTAGAGGCGTGAACTACCACACCCGCCTTCTGTTTATTTTTAAATAAGGGATTGAATAAAAGATTCAGTTGACAGAAATCAGTCAAAAGAGTTTTTCAACAAAGTTCCTTTATGATATTAAGTAAATGTTTATATATAACTTATACTAGTTTCCTAGCCTTCTTCTGATGAGGTTTCATTTATAGAAATCCCCTTTTTTAAGAATGGTGGACAGAAAAGTTTGTCCACTGTCAAATTCTGCACATACAGCCTGATCAGTGCTTGCCAAGTGATTAATAGTGATAATGTCCACTTAAAGTTTTTCTTCTTTAGGGCATCAAGAAATGGCTTTGGAGGCCAAGGTGGGAGGATCACTTGAGCCCAGGAGTTCAAGACCAGCCTGGGCAGCATAGTGAGACTCTGTCTCTTAAAAAAAAAAAAAAAAAAACATAGCTGAGTGTGATGGTGCATGCTTGTAGTTCTCACTACTTGAGAGGCTGAGGTGGGAGGATCACTTGAGCCCAGGAAGTCGTGGCTGCAGTGAGTCATGATTGCGTCACTGCACTCTAGCCTGAGTGATTGAGCAAGACCCTGTCTCAAAAGCAAAAAAGAAAGAAAGAAATGGATTTATCTGTTCTCTAATAGCAATGTCAGTTGTCCTTGATGTGGTGGTTCTGATATACATAAATTTCAGTTACTATGGTTTAGTTAAGTAATACCAGTCCCGCAGCAACATTGCGTATGTTAACTGAGTAAGTGCATAAAGTACTGCCAGTAGCTCTTTAGTCCACATATAACTATATAATGTAAATAACAGATACACATCACGATCCATGACCCATCAAGTCAGTGCTTTCAGAGTCTCAGTGACTGGTCACTGTGCATCTGTTATTCAGTTCACATACAGAGCAGAGCATGCAGTTGTGGTGCCTCCTTGTCTCTCATTGATAAAACTGCATGACATTTTACAACACTTATAATCGAAGTAAGGAATAGGCCCACAAAGATAAAGGCACAGCAAAGAAACAAAAGTGGTGATGCTGAAAGTACCATCCAAACTGAGTTTAAGGAGAGTCTGTAGAAGAAAGAGCTCACTGTGGGAATGTTGACACTGCCAGTGAGGTGAACTTGTTGACTTGAATGAGGAAAGTGGTCGTGGCAAAAAGGATGAAAATGTCCCCAAAGTGACACCAGCAAAAACAAAGATTTTACAAAGTAAAAAACAAATTCTTTGAGCTATTTCATGACATTAGAAGTTCAGAGGATAAAATGTAGACAGCAGTTTCAAACTTAGAAAAGAGTACAACAGTTGTACAAAGCACAGAGAAGGTGCTTGCGCTGTATCATAAGTTACAGGGCAAGAGCACAAGCACTGTTCAAACTTCCCTTGATAAGTTTCTTACAGAGAAATAAAACGCCTAGAAAGAGAGAAAGTTAGCTCTCAGTGTTCCTAATGTAATTACAGTGTACTCATAAGTTCAGTGTTTTTACTTTACTCATTTTTAGTTTCCCTATGTAGTAAAGGTTTTTAATGTTTTGGCAAAATTTTTTAAAACTCCTAAGACAGTAATAATTTTTCCTATTGATTGTTAAGATTGTTTTGTGTGGTTTCAGCTTGTACAATCATTTTTCCAATCCCATTCTACCATAGAAAGCAAGGACTGAGGCCGGGTACGGTGGCTCATGCCTGTAATCCCAACGCTTTGGGAGACCGAGATGGGCAGATCACTTGAGGCCAGGAGTTTGAGACCAACCTGGCCAACATGGTGAAACCCTGTCTCAACTAAAAATACGAAAATTAGCTGGACATAGTGGTGCATGCCGTGCCTGTAATCCCAGCTACTCAGGAGGCTGAGGCACAAGAATCACTTGAACCCAGGAGGTAGAGGTTGTAGTGAGCCGAGATTGCACCACTACACTACAGCCTGGGCGATAAAGCAAGACTCTGTCTTAAAAAAAAAAAAAGGGACTGCCTGTGTTATCAAGTAGTAGGAAGCATATGTGATTTCTAAGGACAGAGCAGCATTTCATATTACCTTCCCTTGTTGAAACACATAAATTAATTAATTTTGGGGATTATATTGTGGTGCCATATTCAATTCTGGTAGTACTAATGACAGTTCATCAAGCTTATGAAGGAAAGGTTTTCTCTGATAAATGGCTGAGAAGTCCCCCTGGTCCAGGCTTTTTCTCAGGATCCCCCTGTATTGAGCACCCTGTGCTTTCCTGTACATACCCAGCCTTCACATTAATTGACAGTTTGTGGCTGGTATCTTAATGATAGAAATTCCCTGTAGAGGAACATTTTTAACTATTGAGAAATAACTTACCCTCTTTCCTCCCTATCTTCTTGTTTCAGCCTTGAGAGAACCTGGGAAATTTGATTTGGTTTATCACAATGAAAATGGAACCGAGGTAGTGGAGTACGCTGTGACACAGGAGAGCAAGGTAGGTGTGCTTCTCTTCTTGCACTGCTTGGCCATACGTTCTCTCTTGACCGATTACCTGTGGTTTGGAAGGTGACATTGCACTACAGGCCCTGGAGGGAATCTATGGTATGGCAATACCAGTGCTAAGTGCCAAATCAGGGCTCCATCTTGGCCCTCATAGAGCCTGTGTGACAAGATGCACAAATAACAAACTTTAAGAGTGTACAGTTGTTTAAAATTATAGCTGTATAAGGATTCCAGCAGGAAAGGGTAGCGTATTTAGAAACTTTATTGGCATATACATTCAGAGAAGCGCATATAATTACATGGCTGGAACAATTTTCACATGCACGTACCCATGTAACCAGACCCAGATCAGGAAATAGAACATCACACCCACTCCCAGAACCCTCTATTATGTCCCCTTGCAGTCACTACTGTCCCCCAAGTGTTACCACAGTTCCAACTTTTATTTTTTTGAGAGTGTCACTGTGTGGCTCAGGCTGAAGTGAAGTGGCATGATCTTGGCTCACTGCAACCTCCGCCTCCCAGGTTCAAGTGGTTCTCGTGCCTCAGCCTCTGGAGTGCCTGGAATTACAGGCACTTGCCACCTCGCCCAGCTAATTTTTGTATTTTTGGTAGAGACTGGGTTTTACCATGTTGGCCAGGCTGGTCTCGAACTCCTGACCTCAAGTGATCTGCCCACTTAGACCTCCCAAAGTGTTGGGATTACAGGCGTGAGCCACCGTGTCTGGCCTGAGAGTTCCAACTTACAATAGCACAACATTTTGAAGAGTGACATAAAATGATGATCCCGTCCTCTGACTAAATCCTTAAATTGCCATTTTAGGAAGTATATGGTTTATACCTTTTTAAGCAGCCAGACCTACCAGAGTTGCTGGCGGTGGCTAGCTCATTAGGTTATGGTGGCATTAAATAGAAGTTAGATTTAAGAAAATGCTCTCTGTTAAGGTGTTTATACTTGAAATGTTATAGATACTATTCTGTAAATTTCAATATTGCAAACATTTTTTCTGAAGTGTGAACTTGTAGAAACCTTAGCCAGACTGTATGTTTTACCTTGTCTTTAAGGTAGATGACACTTTTAGGGATTTATTCCAGAAACACGTTTTTAGTGTTTGTGGTAGGATCAGCAGATTTGGCCTGGTCTCCTGTACTTCTTTATTATTTTTTAATATATACATATATATATGTATTTTTTTTTTTGGTTGAAATTGGAAACTGCATTGGAAAATTAAACCTTGGAGGCTTTTCTCTCTATGCCCTAAACAGAGGCCTGAAGTAGAATAGAAAGCCTGTAATTAGGCCGGGAACCCTGGTTCATGCCTGTAATCACAGCACTTTGGGAGGCTGAGGCGGGCTGATCCCTTGAGTCCAGGAGTTCAAGACCAACCTGGGCAACATGGCAAGACCCCGTCTCTACAAAAAATACAAAAATTAACCGGGAGTGGTAACACATGCCTGTAGTCCCAGCCACCTTTGGGGGTGGTGGGGGCAAGGCAGGAGGATCACTTGAGCCCAGGAGGTCGAAGCTGTAGTGAGTCCTGAATGCCACTGCATTCCAGCCTGGACTGTAGAGGTGAGACCCTGTCTCAAAAGCAAAAAGCCTGTAATTACCGTTTTTGACACTAGATGGCCCTCATTATTCATTCATAGGACCAAGCCTTAGCGTTTGCTTTCTCTTGGTGGGCTGTGAAATAGTTCGTATTTTTTTGTTTTGTTTTTCTTTTTTTTTCTTTTTTTATTGTTGTTATACTTTAAGTTCTGGGATACATATGCAGAACATGCAGGTTTGTTACATAGGTATACATGTGCCATGGTGGTTTGCTGCACCCATCAACCCATCATCTACATTAGGTATTTCTTCTAATGCTATCCCTCCTCATGTCCCCACCCCCCCAACAGGCCCCAGTATGTGATGTTCCCCTCCCTGTGTTCGTGTGTTCTCATTGTTTAACTCCCACTTATGACTGAGAACATGTGGTGTTTGGTTTTCTGTTCCTGTGTTAGTTTGCTGAGAATGTCCCTGCAAAGGATGTGACTCATCCTTTTTTATGTCTGCATAGTATTCCATGGTGTATATGTGCCATATTTTCTTTATCTAGTCCATCATTGATGGACATTTGGGTTGGTTCCAAGTCTTTGCTACACACGTATGTTTATAATAGTTCCTGTTTTTAGGTAAGTTAGGATAAGAACTACAGAGCAGTGCGAAAGGGCATCAGCATCCTAGTGATACCCATCTGGACTGCATCTAGTTCCCAGAAGGTCTCCAAGCCACCTGTCCACAGGGCAAATCAAATGGAGGGGTTGGGGGAGCTACTCCCTCCCGCAACCCCTCATCCCCTGTTCTTAATCAAAGAAAGATGAAATATATTTAATGTAAAATTTAGCTTCATTCTAAGTAAATGAGTTATTTATTTATTTATTTTCCCAGCACAGAGTTTCACTCTGTCACCCAGCTGGAGTGCAGTGGCGCGATCTCCGCTTACTGCAACCTCTGCCTCCTGGGTTCAAGCAATTCTCCTGCCTCAGCCTCCCGAGTAGCTGGGACTACAGGCATGCGTCACCACGCCTGGCTAATTTTTGTATTTTTGCAGAGACATATATTGGCCAGGTTGGTCTTGAACTCCTGACTTGAGATGATCCACCTGCCTTGGCCTTCCAAAGTGCTAGGATTATAGGCATGAGCCACCATACCTGGCCTCTTTTTTTTTTTTTTTTTTTAATTAAAAAAAAAATAGAGATGGAGTCTCACTAGGTTTCCCAGGCTGATCTTGAACTCCTGGGCTCAAGCGTTTCTCCCTCTCAGCCTTCCAAAGTGCTGGGATTATAGGTGTGAGCCACAGCGCCTGGCCTAAAGAGTTACTATACCCTAATTGAACTCAATTTATTGGAACCCAAATTATTCCCATTCTTCAATCATTCTACACTGATGGAAAATTTACTTGGCTAAAAATTTTAACTTACTAAAACCTGTATGACCTCAAAATAAAGTGCCTAAACTGGGGATTTTGTCTTTTTCCTCAGATCACTGTATTTTGGAGAGAGTTGATTGACCCAAGACTGATTATTGAATCTCCAAGTAACACATCAAGTACAGAACCTGCCTGAGTATGACCTCTCCACCTTAGAGTTTATGAATGTCTTGTTTGTGAAAGTGACTCTAACCCGAACCTTTTTTTTTTTTTTTTTAAAGAGGATTTGGAAGTTGTATGGATTTTTATCTTCACTTTACTGCATAGGAAACAATCTACCTCATCATTTAAAATGACATGGGTGTTGGTTTTGTAGATCTTTGGTTTTTTTTGTCAGGTTTAATTTCAGCTAACAAAATGTAAAACATGACATTCCTTGCAGACATTGTTGTATACCAGTATGGTTTCTTCTCTTTTAAATATTTTTGGCCATCAAGTAGCAGTCGTCGGTAGGAGTTTATAATACCAAGAATGTGCTGCGTATCTTGTCTCAATAAGTTTTAAGTAACACTTAAAAATATTAAAGCATGTTACTTGATCTAATTTTTTAGCATTTGAGTTGTTCCATCAAATGGAGCATCTCGTAAATTTCAAGTATTTTATACTTGGAATTGTTAAGAGTTAAAAGGTAGTTGGATGTGTCACAGACAATGAGTTAAGGAATCCTTTCATGTTTTTCCCAACTTTAAAATTAAGGATTCTCAGGGCCCTGTGTAGAGCAGTGAAAATAAGATGTGTATGTGTGTGTGTATGCCTGGAGGAGAATTGGTGTTCCACTTGGGTGAGAGGATTGGCTGTGAGCTTCAGACCAGGAAATGTGTCATCTTGCCAGGCGCCTGGCTGAGTGTGCTGGAGTGAGGATCTTAAACAGAAACTTCCTTTTCTGTTGTTATTCACTACAAAGCTAAAATGGCCAAATATATACTGTGAAAATATGTTTCATTTAACAAAAGATCAGATCCCTCCTTCAGCTGTACACATTTTTAAATAAAATCATATTGAACTAAACACCTCTACCGAGTCATCATGTTGAGTATTGCAAATTGTTGTCTTATTTTACAATAATGTGAGAGATTACAGTTTTCTGTAACAAGAAGGTTTGCTTTGACTGATGAGTCTGATGTTGCAGAGTTTGGTCCAGTGGAGTTTGTCTGATCTGGGAGCCACTGCACCAGTGGAGATGCTGGCCAGTTTTACTTTGTATGTCATGGATGTGTTTCAAAATGTGCATTTATTGATTTGTAATGAGAAGTATTACTCCCGAAAGGATGAGAGTAATGTGAATGGTGGGATCTTGGCACTGGGGTTCTGTGTAGCACACTTGCCTTCCAGGGTTGGAAAACAAATTAAGATAGATAGTAAACATTGACCAAAGGAAAATGTTGACCTCAGGGTGTGTTTTCATCAGATTATAATCAGTTTATGAGTCACCTTTTCCTTTGTTGTGTTTGTCAGACTATGAATAGAGTCCCCTAGAAGGATTATGAAGTCAATTTAGGGGGCCATGACCAGCATTTTGAAAAATAAAATACAATAGAATAGAAAAACAAAAAGTGTGTCACATCCAGCGATGCTTTTTTTTTTTTTGGAGACCAAGTCTCACTCTTTTGCCCAGGCTGCAGTGCGGTGGCATGATCTATTTCGGCTCACTGCAACCTCCGCCTTCCAGGTTCAAGCGATTCTCCTGCCTCAGCCTCTCCAGTAGCAGGGATTGCAGGCGTCCGCCACCACGCCTGGCTGATTTTTGTATTTTTAGTAGAGACAGGGTTTTACCATGTTGGCCAGGCTGATCTCAAACTCCTGACCTCAGGTGATCCACTCACCTCAGCCTCCCAAAGTGCTGGGATTATAGGCGTGAGCCACCATGCCCAGCCTAAGCCTGCTTTATGAAACTTTTGTTTCATGACATAGAGCCATGTCTGTAGTGGATCACCCTGTAAAGTGTAAATGTATTTCTTATTGCTTGAAGTCAGGGATACAATTGTCATGTACTCAAACTTGGAAACTCTAAACAATGTCATTTACCCAGGAGTGAGAGAGAAAAGGGGAGGTGAAAATGAAGATGCTGAGCAAGAAGTGCTTGCCAAGGACTCAATCTCTGCCTCATTGTTTCTGGACTAGTGGTCCAGAGCACTCTCCTAGATGAGGAAAAGAGGAAGCACTCAAACACCAGCTCTTTTTATTATAGGATGATTATTTGCCAAAGACCAACTAACCGAGGGAGAGCGTAATGTAACTTCAGAGCAGTGTTCTCTTTCCCCAGGATGTTTTGGGCTGTCGCTCAAGTGGCTGTGTCCTGGCCTCAAGTGTAAGTAGCAGTCAGGCCCCTGCCTCACATTTCCCACTGTGCAGCCATTATCTTTGGGAGCATGAACCTCTGACTTACTACCTTTCTGACCCCATGACTCAGTTTTGTTCATCTTCAGATTGTCTATGCAATGTTAAGTTCTAAGCTGCTTTAACTCTGCATAAAAAGACTGACGCTGACTTCATCAGCCCAGTGTCCCATTGGGTGATTTTCCCCCTTTTTTTTTTTTTGAGATGGAGTCTTGCTCTGTTGCCCAGGCTGACGTGCGATGGCTCAGTCTCGCTCACTGCAACCTCTGCCTCCTGGGTTCCAGCGATTCTCCTGCCTCAGCCTCCCGAGTAGCTGGGACTACGGGTGCACACAACCCCGCCTGGCTAAGTTTTGTATTTTCAGTAGAGACAGGGTTTCACCATGTTGGCCAGGCTGGTCTCAAACTCCTGACCTCAGGTGATCCACCCACCTTGGCCTCTCAAAGTGCTGAGATTATAGGCATGGGCCACCGCGCTCGGCCACCATTTTTCTGTTTTCTTGAAGTGCTTAAGCTCTCCAACTCCAACCATATCACTGATACAGTTGGTCTCTTCTTTGCTGTCCTCCTGTTGGGCACTGCGGTGATAACTTAATTACCTGTTAACTTTTCTTTTTAGCTACTTCCAAACCTGGATTTGTTGGGTCTTTCTGCTCCTTCAACTGTTCTGAAGGGATGACATCACAAAAACTCTTTTTCACAGACAAAAGAACTAGCCCACTCAACACATGGATACTGTTTGGTTCTAATTTTCAACTTCTTTATATTTAAAAGCAGCTGTTGCAAACTTTTTCTGTAAGCCTTCATCCCCTAGTGTCAGCTTGACAACCTTTTGCAGTTCACAAACCAAGACAGGCAGGAACATGTGCCTCTCCTTTGTGCCCTTCCCTTCATTGTAATGAATGCACTGATTTGTTTTTCTCCCCACTTGACTGTTCACAGCTCTTGTTTGCAAGACCTGCTATATCAGTGTAGGTCTAATCAGGAGGGAGAAACCACATAGTAATCCAAACAGGAAAAGTTTAATATAAAGAATTCCTGATTCTCACTGGGATCAGAGTGATGAGGAACTGGCTAGTAAGAAGTAAAGAGAACTCTAAAAACACAGAATAGCAGATACAAGGAGCAGCTACTACCCTGGGGCTGAGATAGATTCACCCAAGGAAGAGCCCCTAGACTCTACCCTCAGGCTGTGAGCAGGCTCCTTTGGGAAGGCATGGCCCTACCTCACTGAAGGACATGAGGAGTCACCATGATACTGCACCAGCAGAAGTTGCTGGAAACCTGTCATCTTCCAAATGTTGACACATTTAATTAAGTGATATTTTAAAATTGCATTTGTTAATATTGCTAAATATGTGATCTTATCAAGAAAGTCTTAAGTATCAGGAAGTTGTCAGCTCACGATGGCAGATACAAGTTTTCCAAAATTCTAATTTTTGCTCGAAAGCTCAGTTTTTCATTGGCAACAAATACTGTTTGTTCTTGAACTAAGTGGCTCACTTTATTGTCAAGAAAATGTGGGCCAGGTGCAGTGGCTCACGCCTGTAATCCCAGCACTTTGGGAGGCCAAGGCAGGCGGATCACCTGAGATGAGGAGTTCAAGACCAGGCTGGCCAACATAGCAAACCCCATCTCTACTAAAAAATGCAAAAATTAGCTGGGCGTGGTGGCACGTGCCTGTGATCCCACCTACTCAGGAGGCTGAGGCAGGGAGAACTGCCTGAACCCAGGAGGTAGAGGCTGCAGTAAGTGGAGATCGTGTCACTGCACTCCAGCCTGGGCAACAGAGCGAGACTCCATCTCAAAAAAGAAAATGTATACCAGTCCCCAAGTCTGAATGACCACAAGTTTTCTGTCAGTAATTATTTCAAGTAAAAATAGTGCTTTCATGGAAAATGTGGCTAGTTCAGCTTACAATTCAAATAATTGCGTAAGTGCTTTTCCTTGAGACAACCATTGTATTATGGAATGCAGAAGTGCTTTATGTATTAAGAAGCTGTGTCTCTAAGGGTCAAGACTTAATAATGTTAATAATTGTTATTCTATCAAGGATATTAAGCACAGCTGGCTTTGCCCCTTACTATGAGTGCATGGCCCAGTGATGCCACTGGCTAGCAGATTTGTGCTGAAGTGCAGCGGTTCATTCCATATTGGTTTTGCACCATCAGAGCAAACATCAATGCTGTGAAAAGACAACATAATCATAGTAGCTTTGACCTTGCAGATTCCTAAAAGGGTCTTGAGGGGAGGAGTCCATAGACCACACTTGGAGAACCACTGACATCGTGGAAAGAAAACAGGTTTTAAGTCAGATTTGGGTCCACATCTGAGCCAGGTGACCTAGGGTGAGTGTCTTCATTTGCCGCATGGGCCTAACCCATGCTCAGACTTAACAGTGAAAAGTTAAAATCATGCTAGACTAGACCCTGGCACATAGCAGATGAGCAGAAAGTATTGATCTACTCTTAAGCCTCTAATCAGACTCAAAAGACGGTGATTGATAAAGTTCAACTCATTAATAATTCAGAAAAAAAGGAATGACTGAGTTATTAGCATGGCGTATTCTTATGGTGGATTCATTTCACTTTGCAAAAGTTATATATATTTTGAGACAGAGTCTCGCTCTGTTGCCCAGGCTGGAGTGCAGTGGCACAGTCTCAGCTCACTGCAACCTCCACCTCCCAGGCTCAAGTGATTTTGATGCCTCAGCCTCCTGAGCGCTGGGACTACAGGTGTGCGCCATTGCACCTGGCTATTTCTTTGTCTTTTTAGTAGAGACCGGGTTTCACGACGTTGGCCAGGCTGGTCTGGAACTCCTGGCCTCAAGTAATCTGCTCACCTCGGCCTCCCAAAGTGCTTGGATTACAGACGTGAGCT